CTGTAGTCAACGAAAGCTTATGCTCTAATAAATTTGTTAGTCTCTAAGGTGCCACAGGTACTCCTGTTCTTTTTGCGGATACAGACTAACACGGCTGCTACTCTGAAACTTCCCTTATGAGAGTTAAGGAAGAAATAGGATCTACAGTGTGATAGTTAACACAAAGGGCAGGAGTGTATGTGACACAGCAATGCACATTACACTTAGGTATGACACTGTGTGTATTCTCTTCTAGACCCTACAAAGAATCCATTGTACTCTGCCCATTTGGTAAAAGCCAATGGATTCCAATTCAGTAATCTAGTACGCAGCTTTTGCCACCAGTGATATCACACCTCTCTAATGCTGCACCCTTTTAGGGGGGGCAATCCAACTCCAAGTAAAGTTAATGGAAAGATGCCCATCAACTTTAATGGGAGTTGGACCCGGCCTCTAATCAGAATATTTGATGCAGCCTTGGCAGTTATCCAGGTCCATATATAATAGCTTTCACATTATCTGTGTTCAAATTCGCTCTTAGTTAATGACACCTATAGGAATACTCATTTATTGTGGCTCCCAGTCTTCTTAAAATATGAGCCTTATCACTGCCCTATGAAGAATGGTGAGGGAACTGTCATCTGTGTACAGAGACTTTCCCTGGCCCTTATGGAAGGGTGTGAGAAACCATACAAACTATTCAGTGAATCCACGCAGAAGATGTATTAGCTTTGGCACAGGGGGCCTCCATACTGAGGAATTCCCCTCCACTTAAAAAGCTGAACTGAAGCACTGTTGTTTGAAAGTTGGGGAGGGGTCGGGGCCCCGGGAGACTTGAGGAGACACAGGTCCTCCCCACACACAGCCTTGTGGTCTGGCAGATACTGACACTGCCGTCACAACTGAGTCCAGACCCCTTTCTTTCTCTGTGGGAATGCAAACCAAAAAAAAGTAGAATTCAGAGGAAATACCAGAACAGGAACTCACAATTCTCCTCCCACCAGGGATGCCTTCTACAGATATTTCCTCTCCCAACCAACCTCTCCACCATATTTTTCAGGAAACCTATTTACATGATGATGAAGCAACTGCAACTCCTTAGCATATCACTACCACATCTGGGCCTGGTCTACACTGGGGGGGGTGGGGCAGGGGAGAGAATCAATCTAAGATACACAACTTCAGCTACGAGAATAGCGTAGCTGAAGTCGACATATCTTAGATCAAATTAAAATGACTTACTTCGCGTCCTCGCAGCGCTGGATCGACGGCCGTGGCTCTTCCGTCGACTTTGCTTCTGCCTCTTGCACTGCTGGAGTTCAGCAGTTGACGGGCGAGTGATCGGGGATCAATTTATCACGTCTACACTACACGCAATAAATCGATCCCTGATAGATAGATCGCTACCCGCCGATCCGGCGCATAGTGTAGAGGTACTCTTACTGAGCTAAAAGCACCCATTAAAGAGGAATTTCCAGTAAATTAATTCTGAAATGGTGCTTCTCTGCCAGAGAGAGCCACCACTTCCATGCCCCATGAGACAAAGTGAGCTTGGAAAAGCAATGCTGAAAAGCACTATGTGTCTGGTTTTTTGCTCATTGTACAAGAAGTCTCCAAAATGACTCTCCTGGTGAAAGGCAGATTTTGAAGTGAGGTTATTTAAAAAAGTTTGCAGTGCATAAATAGCCCTGCCCTAGGACAGAAAAACAATGATCTGAGAAACACCTTTGAGACCTGCTGCCAGTACTTGTGTGGTACAGTAGTTGCACTATCTACAAGTATCAAATATTCAGATAAAACTGATTAGTTCATAAACTTGGTATGTACTGCCAAAGATTTTGTGAATCAAGCCATTAAAAATGTGCTATAGCGAAATTAAGATAAGAATTCACTTCTGCAGATCTTTACATCTTTATTAACACTGAAAACCACTGAATGCCACTTTTGGATACCATAATTTTCTTATAACTGTAGTGTTACTTTCAGCTCTGCCTCAAACTTCAGATACCTCAGGGACACCATTTTTCAAGTACATCTATCAAATACATTAGGTTGAAGTACCGCCAAGTTACTATACCTCCTATTTCAAGCACATGGAGACAATACATGATAATGACATCTCTTACTTCAGCTACATTGGGGCTGCTTTGTCCTTCACTTCAAGTCCACTTCAAATGTCACCAATGTTTTTACAAAGTATATTTACAAAAGGCAAAAAAAGGTTACAATTTTATGAATAATAAAGCCAGCCACTCTTGTAAGTCAGGCCAGGTCAAAAATTAAGTCAACCTATGCTCAGGGGTGTGAAAAACCCACACCCCTCCACGACGTAGTTAAGCAGACCTAACCCCCGGTATAGACAGTGCTAGGTCAACAGGTTGACCTAGTTACCACCTCTCGGTGAGGTGGATTAATTAGGCTGATGGGAGAATCCCTCCCGTTTCTGTAGTGAGTGTCTACACTGATGGGCTGTTGCAGCTGTGCTGCTGTAGCACTTCAAATCTCGCCAAGTCCTCACTTCTCTTCCTTTCTCTGTGTTATCTATAAAAATTATAGCCACATTAATCATGTGCATACATCAGACTGCCATACAAAATATGAAGCTGAAAGCTTCTTCCAGGACTGCCTTACACCTGACAGTTTAGCAGCAGAATTAATTAACAAAACCGTTTCTTGATGTTAAATCACAGTCAACGCTCATGTGGTGCTTGTGACTTCTCAAGAATCTCATGAGCAGAAATTCCAAGGTTTGGAATGCTCAAGAATCTGTAGCAGCAGAATAACTACCTTTAACGCCTTCCAAGCCTTTCTAAAGCCCAAATCAAGAATCAATAAAGATGTGTGTCTTGCTGAGCAGATTATTTGACCTAAACTGGATGTCTCCAAACATATGCCGATTCTACTGATTAAATTATTTTAAATGAAATGTGTATTTTTTTCTGATTAACACTTCAATCTACACATTTCAGATCATGTCCTTATCTATATGTAGATTTGATATAATGGTACAAATCTAAATAAATCAATTCTTCAAAGCATGGTTAAAAAAATTCTTCTATCTGGATTATATATTCAAATAAAATGCATTTATTTAATTGACCACAGAAAGCACTGTGTGTTAAAATATTTCCATGCAAATCCATGGTTTTAAGTGACACAAACACAGATCTGGTAATGAACCTTCTTGCTTTAAGAAAATAATATTTTGATGTTTTTGAAATGCTTTCAACTGCTTACATAACCTCTTACAGGATCTAACATGGGGGCAGGAAGAAATCAGTCATAAACCAGTCTTCTATGCTTTACAGTTGGAATGTTTTCTTATTACAGTCTGGATTTTACCTTCAGTACTTATACTGTGCAATTTGGAATAGCCTCTGTAATAATTTATATTTTGTTCTTCAGAGGATTTGTCAGTTTTACAATGCTAGACACTGGAAACAGTGAGGATTTTCACATCAGCAGATATGTATTCACTTGAGTGCACCTCTCAGTAGGTTTGAAGCTTCAGACATTTCACACTATTCAGAGTCCAGTTATCAAGGGAGTCTATTCTACAGACCATAAAAATCACCTACCTTGACACGGCTCACTGCCTCTTGAGCTTGCATCATTCTTATATTTTTGGAAGGGTTACGTTCTGAGAGCAGCTGTGTAGAACCCAAGTAATTGGCTGCAAAGATGATTCCATCAATGAGATCTTCAGGTTCACAGGGTCCTGGAACTACAGACAGGTATACAATTATTACCTTCCAAAAGGGGGTAGGGCAACAAAAAACTTAATGAAGGGTATTAATACTTGCACAAGTTTTCCTTAATACATTTCTTTCATTACAACAGTCTAATTAAAAGAAGCATTGAAAAGTCCAACACACATTAAACAGCAGACTTATTTCCCAAAATGTTGTCTCAGACACCTAAAAAGCAAATGTGTAGTATTTAAAAATCTGCATAATGTTTTGATCTTGGAATTAGAGAGTAGTTCATTGTAGCATGCTGCCTTGGGAAAAGCACAACAGAGCTCTTCACTATAGTAGGCCAAATACTGCTCTCAAATGCATGCACAAGCTTCCTTCCAATTGATATTAATGTAACATTCATAATATGTTACATGTATTGAGTGTTCTTATCTTTGGGCCAAATTCTGTTCTTCTATTTGGGTTTCTTGGTACCCATATTTGTCAATGGGAATGAAAAAAGTGCACAGATCGCCAAACTCTTTGCCAACTACAGTAGAATCTTGTTAGCTCACACTAATGACAGATACCCATGGGCAACAACTGCATGTTGTGAATCAGCAAGTAAGGAAAAACAAAAACACTTCACGAATCACATTCTAGGGTTGATACAGGTAGGTGTGATGTAGGGGGTCAAATATCTGAGCATCACATCCAATGTACAATATCTGGCAGGTCTGAGACAGAGGTATTTCTTTGCTGTGGTAGATGATGTTAACGCAAAAATGCACAATCAAAACAGCACTTCATTTCATACACCCAAGAACTTTAAAAAGGAACAAAAGCTGCAAGGAGACTCTTTGTGTCTGTATCACTAATGTTTCCATTTAAAAATAATATATTTCTTATGCACGCCATAACTCTCTAAAGTTACAAAAGTAATTCTGTATGCAAAAATACACAAAGGAATTAGGAGGATGGTGATACAAATGAGCACTTAACATCTATTTTACCAATCATCATCTATGTTAACACCCCCCTGAAAGCTCTTATGCTGAGTATATCGAATTTAGTAAACTGCCTAACATAAGGAAAGAAAAAAATTCAAACACTAAGTAACACTGTGGGCACACCGACAGGCATGTCCTGCTACACACTTATTTGGCAGAGGTAGGAAGGACTCAACAGATATTCGAAGCACACATTTAGCAGAAAAGATCATGTTTCACAGAGAAGGCTGTCTTCACTGGGCCATGAAACAGTAGAGAGATCAGCAACCCTTCATAGGGCTGTAAGTCGGGCAAAAATAGTAGTCAGAAACAGAAGATTTGGAGGACATTTGTGTACTTTGCTTCAAGAGAGGACCACTACTGAACTTCAAAGTCTGGGGACAATGCTACCCACAACAGAAAAGAAGCCGTCTCTGGCCATATGATGGACCTGAGTTCAGGAACTGATTCAGACAGACAGCTTCCAGACTCGTACAGATGGTATACACTAATAACTGGGGGAATAAAGAAGTCCAAATAGCCTGCCAAGGATTAACACTAAGGGTAGAGCTGCACAGCACATCAATCACCCCATCCATCTGAAAGAAGGGAAGATGCCAGATGGCAGCTGAAGAGGAGGAAAAAGTGGACAGATTAAAAAAAAACCTGGAGTCAAAAATGAAGAGAAAATAAGGAAATTTGGAACTTATTTTTGATGAATATTACTCAAATTTAAGCCCCAATCCAGCAAAGCACATATGCACATGTTTAGCTTAATAGATAGACTCACTGACTTCAGTGAGATTCTCAAATTAACTACCATTTTACAAACTGCTTTAGCAACTGCCAGGATAATTTTCCAGGGATGGAAAAAGGAGAGGAGGCGGGACGGAGAGAGAAATAAAGGATGGTATTTATACTGTACTTGTGTTATGCTCATCTCCTTTATTCAATGGTTAAGTCTTATTTTCAGCCTGATTACATCAACACTAAAGAGGCAGTCACTCCACAATTTTGGCACCAATCCCTTGACTGTAAATACTCTGTGTTCTCCAACAGCTCTACAACGGGAACTTGCTATGAGCCATATCAACATGCCAAGCTGCTAAACCATCTCTCCCAAGTAAACAAATTAATTGTGTGACTGGGGAAAAGGGACATTGAATGGAGATGCTAATTTAATTTAAAAAAAAAAATGCAACAACAATTTTCTGGTAAAGTGATCTTGCTTACATATATAACCAACTGAACTTGTCTGATGCATGCATGGGCGAGCCCTTGAACAGGAAAAATAAATACCATGCTACTTTGATAGAATGCACAGATGTAGCTACTTGCATCTACTTTAATTAGTGGATACTTCTAATTCCACATTGTCCTAAATTCTAATTTTAAAAAAAATCATCAAACACAAATTGAGTGTGATTAATCCCTTCAATTTCTTCATCAGAAAATGCTGCTGCCTCTTACACTTCTATACAGACCAAACATCTGACTGCTCTAATGTCAGCCTGCTGCAGAAACAAAACAGTCTTTGTAATTCGGTAATCACAGTACATGTAAAAAAAATCAATACTAACAGCCCCACAGTCTCCAGAGATCTAACATTAACTAACCAACATTAACACAAAATGGAGCAATTTGTTCGGTTAGGGAAGACTGCAGTTTCAAACTTCCAAAGGGTAATTATTTACAACAATGGGCCAGATTTTGCTATAGACTAAACTAGTGTAAATCTAGTGCTAATCCACTAACCTCAATTAAATTATTCTGGATCTTCATCAATGTGACCCAAAGCAGAATTTATCTCAGTGTACTGGCGAGAGAATTTTTTTAAAATAATTGAACATATCTTGACAGTACCCTCTAAAAAATTAGAAGGAACCTCAACCAAATCTGTAGGAGTCTACTCATCAAAGAAACTGCATGACCAGTTCCACAGTGGGTCAAGTCATTTACCTAGTATCTCAAGAATCAATTACAGTGGGTGCAGTTCTAAACTACTGAGTGAGTAAGAACAATAGGCAAAAATTCCACAAAGACACCAGATTTTAGATTTGTGATCCCATCTAATGAGCTGATTTCAGCACAGTTTCTCTTTAAGGTGTTCTGGTCCCCTCTACCTGCTTCACCAAAAGGGATATATACTTTACAAAGAACTGATGCATCTCTTTGCTGAAGTGCATATAATGCCTTTTCAGGCCTAGCTTTTTGTCTCATGTATCGTTGTCTCTTCTACAGCACACAACTAAACATATTGGCATAATACTTACAAATCCTCTCCTATACAATCCTTGGCAAGTCAAACAATGACGAGAAGTCTGATCCATAATGCTGCAGGATTTGCAACAAAATATTTTAGAAAAGGAAGTTTCACTTATCTACAAATATAGGCCCACTACCCTGTTTTATTCACACATGCCATCTACTGAATTCAAGGGCGTCTAAGGTGCAGGGTTTGGTTTATCCTTGGCAATATCAAATGCTTTGTAAGTCTCTCCAGGAATAGATTTTTGTCTCCATTTCTGTTCCAAAGTACTGGGAGACTACTTGAAAGGCACTTTACCTTCACAGACATCAGCCTACAGTTCTGCATTTCCTCTGCTATATTTAAAGACATCACTAACACCTCAAGTGGAGCATGGAGCTATAATCCCTGCCCTACTTTAGGTGTCTATGGAATTACTGACTGTTGTAAAAGAAAAAAGAGCCATGAATTCATGTCATGTGTTCCCAGCAGCTTAGTGGCAGTGAACATGACTTTCAGCTAGTTTGTTTTAAAACATATTTATTGTAGAAGTAAATTATTACTTAAAAAGCCCCTTAAATAATTTTATTAATGCTTCAGTAGGGGCAGCAAAGTGTGTCTTAAAATAGCTTTATTTATAAGGTTTTATTTTAAGGATTTTGATTCACCTTAATAAATCTCCTTCATCTTTTCAAAAGAGAAACTTTAGTGGATGACATTGGCAAGATCACTATGCTATCAACAGATGGTGGTTGACTATATTGTTATTACAACCTCAGCAACATTTTTAACATCTTATATATCAAGAGCTTATACAAAGGGGCAGTGGGTAAGGGGAAGCATGCTATGTGGATAAATCTTCCAACAGTTTTCCATCAAGAAGGAAATGGAGATATCCTTCCGATGAGATAACACATCTGTGCAAGTGATGTAGGGAGCATTACTGCAAATTGCAAGGTGTCAAACTGGTTAACCTGAGTGGTCTTTTCTAGATCAATTATAGCTTTTGAAAACGTAACAGTTCACATATATACTTGGCTAAGGTCCCAATTCGGCAAGGCACATAAGCATGTCCTTGACACTAAGCAAGTATATAAGTCCTATGTCTTGTCTACACTGGCAAGTTACTGCACAGTAAAGCAGCTTTCTGCAGTGTAACTCCCGAGGTGTACACACTGCCAAGCCACTTAGTGCATAGAAACTCCTCAGTTGCAGCGTTGCAAAACAACCACCTTGATGAGAGTTGTAAGCCTTACAGTGCAGAGGGTCCAGCGCTGTATTGGCAGTGTAAACACATTACTGCACAGAAAGCAATCAATTGGCCTCCGGAAGTGTCCCATAAAGCAACCATTAATGTGGAATGCTCGTGCTGTTGAACACAGAGGCTGGTGTGTCTGTGTCTGTGAGATTGCTGTGCAGAGAGCTGGGGCCAGGGGAGGGAGGCGGGGGCTGATGTCAGGGTTTCCCCCTCCCGCTCCCCCTGCCTCAGGACTGGTTGCTTCCTACCCCTGTCTGAACTTACAAGACAGCGTGCTGACACACTCTCTGTCCCCGAAAACACATTGTCTCTCCTCACAAGGAGCGTCACAAGGAGCACAGTGTGGACACGCAACAGTGGTTTAATTCCAGCACTTTAATAAAAGTGGTATAACTTGTTGCGCAGAAACTTGCCAGTGTAGACATACCCCTATGACAGTGAAGGCAAGGAATGGGAAAAGAATACACCTCAAAACTGGAGAAAGACAAATTTAGTTTGAAAATAGGTTTGAATTTTATGCTGCCTTGTGATGTTACTGATAAAACAATAATTTCTTTAAAAATATATAGGATTTTAAGTGTATACAGTATCTCTTTAAAAAAGGCATTTGATGTCCTGGGTTTTTATTTTGGCAATGTAACATTTAACAATACTATTTCTTTGCTATAAGGTGCAAGTGTCATATAGAATGAGGCTCTTCTAGCAATAAACATAAACATATTTAAAAAAACCTCAAAACACAACAATACTGCACTTGGAGGCATGAGTTATTCCATGAAAAATCAGCTGAATTCAAGAGAAGGAATCTGTTACCAATGCAAATCTAATAATAGCAGACCAAATATTCAACAGGCTCCTTTAATTGTGCTTGCAAAAAAGTATGTTTGCACCCACAAGACAGGTAACTGCATGTGCAGACACTTTGCATATGCAACCGTATATAACTGCAAATACTGGCTGCTACCCCAGTTAAGGAGTGCTGCTGAAAATGTGTCCCTAAATAGTTAATTGGATGCAGGCTAGTGCACTAATGTGGTACCTCTGTCAGAGGTCACTGCAGAAACAGGAAAATGTTCAGTGGTTAATGGCAGAGACTGTCTTTTCATTATGTGTGAGTACTATGCCCAGCACAATGGGGTCCTGTGCCTTGTCTCGGGGGCCCAATGCAATACAAATGAATAGCAGTAATAAAACACAGGGCATTTTGGCTTTGGATTCAGAGAGCGATCTGATTAGCCAACATAGACTCATAGACTCATAGACTCTAAGGTCAGAAGGGACCATTATGATCATCTAGTCTGACCTCCCGCATGAGGCGGGCCACAAAAGCTGACCCACCCACTCCTGGAATAATTCTCTCCCTTGACTCAGCTGTTGAAGTCCCCAAATCATGATTTAAAGACTTCAAATCGCTGAGAATCCTCCAGCAAGCGACCCCTGCCCCATGCTGCAGAGAAAGGCGAAAAACCTCCAGGGCCTCTGCCAATCTACCCTGGAGGAAAATTCCTTCCCGACCCCAAATATGGCGATCAGCTGAACCCCGAGCATGCGGGCAAGATTCTCTAGCCAGAC